TTTTTAAAACTTGTTTTATTAGTTTTAATCTTTTAACTTTATGCATCAAGCAAAAATTAAATTATATGCAACATTCTCTGACTGGAAGAAATTTGTTTAACATTTAAACCTATTTTCTGCACATTCCAGCACATAAAATAATTTATTTTTTTTGTGTTTACACTCTTTCAAATAGATGCAAGTGAAACACAGCAGAAAATAAATAAAATCAAAGACTAGCGGTCCTGTTGCTCTATTTTCACCTGTAAAGCAGGAGTGGCGTAGGCGGAGGTTTACCCTGGTGCAGGTGTGCCGCAGCGGTCAGTGGAAGAATCCGTGAGTTTCTCTGTGAATTTCACATTACGTGGTAGCGCACTCGGTGCTTGCTCAGAAGTTTAGGGGTTTTCTTCCCACGCAGTGAGCAACGGACGCTAATGTTTTTGTCACTTTTTACGGAATCAAACTCAAAGTAAGGTCAGTACTTCCACGCTTTAAACGCTGCACGCTCATACTGTTTCCCGTACTCGATATATTATCCATTGTTGATCTGCACACAGCTGTTGCCACGAACGTCGCACTCGCTTACGTCATTGTCATGAGACACTCTCGCAAGAAAATCACGGTTTTAGTAACGCAGTAACGCAGCGTGCTTACGGGAAAGTAACAGTAATCTAATTACCGCTTTTGCAATAGTAATCCTTACTCGTTACTCGAAAAAAGTAATCGGATTACGCGTTACTGCCCATCTCTGGTCACCACACCGGATGATTAGTTCATTATCAGGCCTCTGGAGAACTTCAAGACATGTTGAGGAGGTCATTTAGCCATTTAAATCAGCTGTTTTAGACCAAGGACACATCTAAAACCTGCAGGACGCTGGCCCTTGAGGCACGGAGTCTTCCCCCCACACACAACTTTAATGTTCTTAGAATACTTGTAAAAACTGATTGCTTCTTTTTTTATTATTTTGTTGGCTCCATTTACATATAGGTGATTTTTACACATACTTCACTAAAGATGTATATGCCACCCTGTCTAGACCTCTTGCCCCTCTCCTTCTCCTCCCCCATGTATGATTTTCTAGATCCAGCACTGATGGTATTAGTATCAGATTGGTATTGGATCGATAGAATCGATACTTTGTTTCTATTCTCTAAAGGTGTTTTTATGCTAGCCTTGCAATGTAACATCATGTGGCATGTGCTGTAGCCTACTCTGAAAAATTTCGGAACTTGTGTTGCCTGTCACGACGATTTTATTTATAGCCTACGGCACATTTAAACAACAGAAGTGCTTCAGAGACAGGCACATTTACATTCTAGGTCTCCAAAAAAAAACCAGTTTAAAAACAAAACCTATATTTATTTTTATAAATTAGCTATTATTGTAGAAAGACAAAGACACAGTAATTTAGTGGTCATTAAAATATGTTAAGAATGTGCAAATTGATGATGATTTGTCTCATAAATCATAATCTGCTCTTCCCTACATAAGCTGCATTCATAGGTTAAAAGTATCAGTATTGGTATCAACAACACTGTATGTACTTGGTGTCGGCTCAATACCAAAATTTGCACACAACTAATGCTCATTTCCAGTTCCATATTTTTGTTGTTGGATTTTTCTACAATAGCTTTGCATGATTCACATTCCAAAATACAGCTTCTCACTTCATCAAAAACAAACCTTTCCACTCATTTCTAACCCAGCCCTCTCCTTGAGCCAACTCTTTTTCTGATTGGCTGCCCCTCACAAACAGAACATTTGAATCTGGCTTCAGTGCTCACAGTCAAAACTGTGTGCTTGAGATATATTAAGGACTTCACTACTCATTGGTATCATACAGAGCCAAGAGTAGGAAAAGAAATCTGTCTAAGAGGCTGATTGTGCAGAGCAGTGGATCTATTTATAACAAACATTGGATTGTTGCACCAAGTACTGATGAAGGGTGTCTACTAGAACAGGAAACAGTGATTCCACGAAATCTGTTCTATATTTTTCAAGGCATCTTTTTATTTCACTATCTTTGGTCCAAAACCTCTTGTTGCCTGTTTTTAGGACACTTTGGTTAGGAAAATATTCAAGTTCAGAAATGTCAGCGCAAAGACTTAAATGAGGTCAAGACAGATGTATATATAATTACAGGCTGTTTTGTGTTGCCAAGGTTTTATACTATTTCCACTTTGGGCATCTACTCAGCAGATCTCAGCTGAGCAGCCACTAGATCACTAAGTTTCAACTTTCCACCATAGCAAGCCAGTGCTAAACCTGGACAGCTCAAATCTAACAACCAAATATAACAGTTTTAGGGACAAAATTACTTCTACAAATATGAACTTAGCACTTTCTCACTGTTTTACAATCTGTATGATCCTATAACATCTAATCAAAATTCAAAACTTTACCACCTTTGTATCTTTATTCCATTGAGATGGAACCATGTGGATGTTCCAGGGGTTTTTATGGGATTTATAATATTTGTATTGCTTGCCTGAACATCCCTCTTTAATTATTCCTTTGGACTTGAATGCATGAATCCCCTAACAAACCAAATATTTGTCTTTACGATAGCTTTGAGGGCTTAAAAGCTGGAGCTCTTATGCTCATTGAACTCAGCATGCAAGCCGGTTGGTTGCAAGGCATGCTGGAAAATCACTGCAGCACGAGCAGCAGGTGCAGTCTAGTCACATGTTAGCTTTAATTAAAAATACACAACCCCTGCTGAGATGGATTTGACTATCCCGTATTTTAGTATGGCCATTCAGTAGGGTTGTGCTGGCATTTCTTTTTCATGAAGGGTCACCAGATGGTGCTGTTGCAACAAAGTGTTTATCTTTAATTTTTTTCCAGGATAAAAAACCCACCACATCCTTTAGAAATGCTTAAAAATGCACCAACTTCATCAGACTGAGTGTAAGTGAACTTGCCATTCTAACTTGTGGCATGTGTGTCAACTTCGGGGAAACCTCTGGCGCCGCATCAGAATTTAAAACAGTCATTTTCATTTCCTTAAAAAGATTACTATACAACCAATTTAAAGTCAATGTCATTTATAAAAGCAATAAATGACATTTGTTTGAAGGATGCAAAAAATACAAAAATAGAAATCTTAGTTAATGTGATACTTGGCTCGTTCAAAAAAAAACCTGTGCAGTGATTTAGGAGATTAGGTTGAACGGTTAATTTAGCATAGCAAGGTAAAAGAGCTTTAATTTAAAAGCAAATGTCTGGCAAGTAACATAAAGTAAATAAATCACAAAATGTCCTAATGAATGGAACACCAAGTTAATATTATACAAATCATTATATTATATATGAATATATTATCAGTTTTTGCTAAATCTTTGTGCCCCATACATTGCACAATTACAGGAGCACTGGTTTCACTGGTTTTAATGATAACCCTGAACACAGGCAATGACAGGAAGCCATTAGTTACTATAAGAGTCTCAACCTTATAATGCTTTACCATGTCCGGGGACACAGGCACACTGGCAACCACATTAGACATCCACTAGAATGAAAATCTAAACACAGCACGATAGAAATAATAGTCACAGCATTAATAACTGAAGATTTAAAGTAAAACAGTAACGTTGCTGATTTTAGTTGGTTCCAGGCACTTAAACACACAGCTCCACACTCCACAGAGCAATAATCATTCCTGTCAATCTATAATTTGTCAAAAGGACACTTAGTTGGTGCGTTGCAGTGTAATACTTCCACGCTCCAGGCAGGTGGGTACAAAAGAAAGTATCAGCAAAAGTGTTTCATACTTTAAAACATTCATGTAAAAAAATATGAAATGAAAAATGTTTTACAACCATACTCCTGAATATATGTGCAAATAGTAACTTATGGTAACAGCAGCAGATGGTACAGATAATATACTTCCCTGAACATCAAAACTATGGTAAATGGTTAAATGCACTGATATAAATTACAGACATTCTTTGCATTTGCATGGCTGAAATAAACATCCATTGTACATGTTTACATCCATGCTATGAAAACAGGATTGATTAGCACAGCAGAAATGATCATTTAAATGAACTTAATGAACTTATTGGTGCAAAAAGTTGAATAAAAGTTACAATGTAGACTGTGTAGACTACTGTGTTTCATTCATTTTAAAATGGTTTTACATGAGAGAGATGGCCACAAAGAAACGTTACATTATGGCCTGTGCATGAGTAGCCTGCATACTGACTTTACAGACCATTCAAGTGTGCTTGTGGACCTCTTGACCCCTGTGCAATTTCTTGATCTCAATAATAATCATTATATAACACGCAGTAAAACATCATCTTTTTTTTTTAATCTCTAAGTGCAGATGTAGGATCAACGTTCTTTTTTTCTTCACATCCTAAATATAAAACATTGCATAATGTCATAAAGGCGATCTGTCTCTAAGCATTTGCATCTCGTGAGCGCGCAGACACATGCTACCTATAGCTGGCAGGAGCTGAGACTCCTGACTGATCCCAGGCCTGCTCACTACATGCAGGCGGACGTGCGTCGCATAGACTAGACGCTGCACACACCGACACAGACCCGTAGCCTACTGAAGCTTCCACCTCGGTGAGCTTCGACCTCCGCTCAGCTGTGTGCTATTTGCAGTCTCCGTGTGACAGCTATAATTCGGCGTCCTTTTGACGAGGCTGTGGATACGTAAGTGTTGCGCCATGCTGCCGCACAGCTGCTTTTTCTAATTCCTCAAGACGGGAACGGGAGACCTCCGCCATCGGTGAAAATTGAGATGTGTTCTCTGAGCCGCTCGTCTGAACGGATGCTCTCCGAAATGGTGTCTGAAGCTAACCCTGGTCGCCTCTGTCCAGCAGAGATCAGAAGCATGGAGAGGTCTGCTTCTGACGCGCTTTGAGATGAAGGATAAGAAGAAAAAAAGAGACGTGAAATGATTTTTCTTTTTGTTTGTTTTGTTTGGTTCTGTTTTGTTTATGATGGGGATTAATGCGCATCCAGATGGGATTTATTCCTGAGTAGTTTTCAGCTGAAGGGGGCGGCGGATCGTGTTGATTTTGTTCTAAATTCAGACCTGGAAGAGAGAGGGGGGGGGAAAGGATACCGCTGCTGCTCGTCGGTGAATTGATGTGGGAATACGCGCTACCTGGGCTGCATAGATGGCAAACACAAGCGAGTTAGGAGAGAGCAGCCCGTCCTTACAGAACTATGCGTCCACGGCCTCTGCGGTCAAGCTGGCCTCGCTGGGTCTGATCATGGGCATCAGTCTGGTGGGCAACGCGTCGCTGTCGCTGCTGCTGCTGAAGGACAGCTCGCTGCATAAGGCGCCCTACTATTTCCTGCTGGATCTGTGCCTGGCGGACGTGGTGCGCTCTGCCGTCTGCTTCCCCTTCGTGATGGCATCGATCGGCGGCGGCTCCGCCTGGCCGTACAGCCCCCTGAGCTGCAAGATCGTCGCCTTCATGTCGGTGCTTTTCTGCTTCCACGTCGCCTTCCTACTCTTCTGCGTCAGCGTCACCCGGTACATGGCGATCGCCCACCACAGGTTCTACTCGAAGCGGATGAATCTGTGTACGTGCGTGGCGGTGATCTGCATGGTGTGGACTCTCTCCGTGGCGATGGCTTTTCCTCCGGTTTTCGACGTGGGCACCTACAAGTTTATCCGTGAGGAGGAGCAGTGCATCTTCGAGCACCGCTACGTGAAGGCGAACGACACCCTGGGCTTCATGCTGATGCTGGCCGTCATCGTGGGGACGACTCATGTGGTTTACATAAAGATGCTGTGCTTCGTTTACGACCACCGCAAAATGAAGCCGGCTCAGCTGGTGCCAGCTATCAGCCAGAACTGGACTTTCCACGGCCCCGGGGCCACCGGGCAAGCCGCCGCCAACTGGATCGCCGGCTTCGGCCGCGGACCGACCCCTCCGACGCTGGTGGGGATCAGACAGGCTTCGCACCCCGGCAACAGGAGACTGCTGGTGCTGGATGAGTTTAAGATGGAGAAGCGCATCGGGAAGATGTACTACATGATTACGCTGACCTTCCTCATTTTGTGGGCGCCCTACATAAGCGCCTGTTACCTGAGGATATTTGTGCGAGGGGCCCCGGTCCCGCAGCTTTACCTGACGGCTGCTGTGTGGATGAGCTTCGCCCAGGCGGGAGCGAACCCCATCATCAGCTTTCTGTTCAACAAGGAGCTCCGGATGAGGCTCCGAGCGTGTTTCCCCTGTTGCCTGGGAACGCAGACACCCATGGAGCCGTACTGTGTCATCTGAACCGCAGCGGGACCCTCAAATACTGCCAAAGACACGTTTGTGTAGGATTTCAGAATGTACACGGAATAGTTTACCCACATTTCTATCAGTGGCAAAGGGTTTACACACTATTTTAATCTGACAGAACTTTACTGATGGTGTAAATTCCTGCTACATTTTGCTTTCTGGACTGATTTAACTCACATGAAGCATAATATGTAATGATTTAATTAAAAAGAAATAGGCTGCAGTGTATTGGAGGGTTTTTTGCCTCTCTAGCTGGGTATCATGGGGAAACCACTCTTCATTTTTGCCTCTGCATGTGTTTAGGTGTTATTCATTCCAGAGGTAAGACGTAGCACATGCAACTTACATGTGCCCTGTTAAATCCTACCTTTGATGAATGACCTTTTTCCATATCTCCATATTTTACACGAATGTCATTTTGCCTATTTTCTTTGGATATTAAAAAAAAATTGAAATATTATCCCAACAAATCAATTTGATGTTGTGGCCCACTGGAAAACTACAAAAAGCAATGCAGAACTACACTTGATCAGACCCCCACCCCCCATCCAACATCTGTATCCGCTTTACTTATCAGTCATTTAAATACTAAAGCTAAGACACAGATCACAGTATGTTTTTAATGAAGGCAATATCACATTTGTAAATACTGTAAAGCCCTGCTAACCCCTTCCTCGAGCTTTTTTTTACACCCATATATCCTTGTATAGTTCATAATCTCTCAGAACTCTTTGTGTTGAACGAGGTGTTTGAACTCACTTTAAAAGCATTTCGCAAATTCTTCTTCTCCATCATCCCCTGTGTTGAGCAGGTCGATTTACATTCCCCCAAAGAACATACAGTACATTACAAGCAGCATTCGTTTTCTATGGATGGAACACTGAGAAGAAATGTGAACAATTTGGTGCTTTGAAAAGGACAGTTTCATTCTTTGTATTTCTTAGCAAATAAATAAGAAATGGATGATAAGTTGTTTGACTCAGTCATCTGCATTTAACGGTATCACTCCACTCTTGAATGGCTTGAAGGTAAGCCGTTCCCTAAGAGAGAAATCAGCCCTCACATACCAGACCCACTGTTTAGTATAACAGTATATGTTTGTTTCAATTAAGTTTTTGTAAACTACTTTGATTGGCATGCTAATTTGAGTGTTCATATTGGTGTTAATATATTTATAGCTGCTGACAGCCCCGATGATGGGTGTGAACTTGCTGCAATCAGCTACAGATTTTAAAAGGAAGAATATCCCAGCTGAATAAAACTATTTATAGTATATTTTGGCAAACTGGTTGCTAATTGAGTGAATGCATGACCCTGTGAATTCTTTCTGATCTTTAAGGTTTCATAAAGGGGCATGTGAGCAACTTGGTATTGCACCTTCATGCAAAGAGAGTTCTTACAAGCAACAGAGAGTGAGATGCTTTGTAGGACACATTTTCAGATGCAATATTCACCATAATGCAACTGAGTGAAAGTGCTATTAGACAATCCCTCCACTGCCCAAATGTCCACTTATTTAAGACCACATTTGCTTTATTCTGTCTCAACCCAAATTCAACACTGGACTTATGTATAGCAATTGGATATAACTGCTTTAACACCATGAACGAGGGTGCCAGTAAGACTCACTTCATACTTTATTCTTTTACCATTTTAAAACGCTCTTTAATGCTTCTCTCTATTTTGAATTTAATTTGTTGCCTGTGAAACAGATGTTTACAACTGGAATCTCTGATGAAATCTCTTTAATGTTATCTAGTATTAAACAAAAAATAAGGCTAGTGGGGTGTTGAGAAGACATAAACTTGTGTCTTTTGATCCATTCAAATCCCCAGGAGTGTCTGTAAATGTGTGTGGAGAGTTGCAAAATTGTAACTCTGTCCCTGTGTGCATTTCTGAATGCGTACAAGAAACAACAAGAAGCGAGAAATAAATAAATCCGTGGATGTATAAAGATTAGCATATGTGAGAAATAAATGTTAATGTGCTCTAATTATGAGTCGAAACTGTTAGTTAGCTTTCTAAGCTGTAAATTGATCTGAATTTGTAGCCTTTGCTTGTGATTTGAGGTAAAATCTTCACAACAGACATTACATTGAGTTTTACTCATGTGTACAGTTATAACTCAGATCTGAGGGCATGCATGCCTCCTTCCACACACATTTGCAGACAACGGCATAACAACCACACCCCCCACCTCCCTTCTCTGTGCACGGGTGAACATCAGGTTTAAATGGAGAATATAAAGAGACACCTTTGCTCTTTGATTCTGACAGTCTGACACCGACCCTGACATTTACCACCAATTTGCCTATCATTGAAGAAATCTCGCGTCGAGCTAATTACAGCCGGCGGGAATACCTCGCGTCAGTTTCACGTCACAATGTCAGTGTGTCGGCAAATTGTTACCATGTATACATGACAAACTGCTCGTAGCTGTTTAGTTTAAAGGCCAGAGGTTTGATTTAAACCTTTAAAAATGTCTGACAGACTCGGTGTCAACTAACTGCTCATTAAACAGTTAAACAGTTTCCAACCGTGTTTTAATTAAACTCAATCAAGCCCCTGATTGATTCAGTAATAGCTGTTTTGCTAATTGGCATTGGCCTTGATGAATAATAATAATAATAAAGACATCTCTTTGCTTTATGAAGGTTTTTCTGAGCTTCAGTCCTTTTCGTTCTATCAAAAGCAGTATACCAGGTTCCTCGACACACTGTCTGCCTTCAGTGCATCTATAACCATTAACATCACATCATGCATGACTGTTCAGGACAGCTGGCTCTGCTCTGCTGACAGCGTGCAGAGGTCTCACAGCATCGTTTCTGTGGCTCCACAGCTGCAGGAAGATCCTCACCTGCACGTGCTCTCATGCGATGCAGATACAGGGTGGGTATTTTTAGGTACACGATGTTGTCTTCAGGGCACGCAGGCTGCATTGTGAAGCTGGGGAATTATGATTCCTGCTACCTGGATTTTCCTGCTGGCTTTGCTAGTGACCTTCTCATTCTAGCCAACCCCTAAGCAAACCACAGTGACCTCTGTCATCCTTAATGGGTTTTACAAAAACACTGTTTGGACAGATGGAGGTATAGCTGTTTCAAAATGGTACGCTCAACTGAGTATTCAAGTATTCGATCAGTATTCTTGTAGCACCTCATTGATTTAGCTTGTTCCTCCTTCTTGTTAAACACCTGGTGACTACATTACCCACAATTCAGATGCTACTGCTAACAGGGAGGGCTGAGTATGGTCACCACTTTTGAACATCTTTCATTTTCAGAGTGGTCTTCAGCTTCACCTAAGGCTGGCTCAGGTAACACCATGATTTCACTTGCTACCTTTTTTCAGCTTTATGTGTAAAATTGGTGTAGTTCCCTTTAAGACTTCTAGCGATTATTGTTTTTTCTTACTTCCATACTTACTTTTTCACTCCATCATTGGTCATCATCACTGGACTTGGTTAGCTCAGCTGCCTCAGAACTGTAGATGTTAATTTTGATATACTGCAAGTCACAGAAATGCAGCCAACACATTTAAGAGGCAAGAACCTGGTAATGTTTGACATTTAAACTTCCTGGAAGCCCTGATTTTAATATTTTTTTAAGCTTTAGACAGTCAAGTCATATTTTGAAGTTGTTGCGCAGCTAAGAGAGCGTTTCAAGTTGGTTGAATGATCTCCACAGCCACAGAAGACCAATATCTGTTATAAAAATGGGAGATATGAGTCACTGCTTTACACACTGGGCGAATCTAATTTTAGCCTTAAGCCTTGAAGAAACGCACAATCACAGCCTGACAGTGATTAATTTCATAGCAGTCTCTGTGTTTCCTGGTGGTGTAAACGCTGCTGTTGTGGTGAGTGTGAATTTTTAAAAAAGCACCTTTGTATTTTAGGAGCAATTAAAATGTTCTCCACAGTTCTTGTTTTGGTATTTTGTGGTTGGAAAAGTGATTAAGCATGAAAAAAACAAAGTCACTTCTATGTTTCAGTTATGACTGGATAATGAAACTGTAACACACAGTGAGCATCACTCAGCAGGCATGTCATTTCATTACTGCTGCAATAACACGTGTTTCTTCTCATGTTTCCCAAAAGGTCAGCTGCAAGCTCACCAAAAACTTAAACGATGTTTAAGTTTGAGTCTTAACAATGTTGGCGTGTCCCTTTGGGCATTTTATTCATAGACGATAATGTTAAATAAAAATAAACTAATCAAAGAAATCAATCCCTGAATTTATACTTGTATTATTTTTGGTTTATCTCAAAGTGAAATGTCAAAATGTATTTTAGGTAGTGTAAGATCCAAAAGGACAAGAGAGTTTTCCTTTAAATGGATGGTTTAATTTGAGCCAATAGGGTGACGCGTTGTTAAATATATCTCTTTATTCCAAATAAAAAAGGCTTTTAAAGGCAGATAAAATATTTACAGTGTAAATGCAGGTCCTCAGAGGTAGAAGTCAGGATACTTGTAGGGTGAGAGACATTTGGATTTGCCTTCCATGATGGTAATACATGACAGGTTCGGCAAACAGGGGCAGGTATGATGAAGCCTTTTGCCAAAGAAGGGAACCTAGAGGGAGAGAATTATGAGGTGCTGGTTACAGGTTCGTCAGCCATAATAGATGGTTGGAAAACAGAGGCAGAGGCGTTGTTTTACGGCCTCCTGTGTGAATTTCTGCCGCCTCTTCTCATGCCCTCCTGCATCATCACTGACACCAGCAGTCAGGCTGTTATAGAAACTCTCACCTTGTGGCTCAGAGGATGACAGTCCTCTCCTTCCTGTCCCATGGGCGTACACATACGCAGGCTGCGAATCCACAAACTCACTGCACAGCACATCCCTCCTCCACACTGGGAGTCCCTTTCACAGGCCTACAAACACACACACACACACACACACACACACACACACACACACA